GACAGCGAGGGAGGCCATGTCCCTTACCACGGGGGCTTCCCCCTCGAGAGAAGACTCGTGGTGCAGGGAGTTGAGCGAGTCGGAGGGCGAGCGCGGCATGTTCTGGAACGACGTGCGGCGGCGGCGCGCATAGCTGCAGTTGTTGGGGATCTTGTAGGCGCACCGCTTGTGGAAGTTGAGGCCGCAGCCTGCGGGAAGGGACGGATGAGGGCCGGTGGCCCGAGTGAGAGAGTTGAGAGAGAGAGAGAGATGAGAGAGAGAGAGAGAGAGAGGAGAGAGAGATGAGAGAGAGAGAAGAGAGAGAGAGAGAGAAGAGAGAGAGAGAGAGAGAGAGAGAGAGAGAGAGAGAGAGAGAGAGAGAGAGAGAGAGAGAGAGAGAGAGAGAGAAGAGAGAGAGGAGAAGAGAGAGAGAGAGAGAAGAGAGAGAGAGAAGAGAGAGAGAAGAGAGAGAGAGAGAGAAGAGAGAGAGAGAAGAGAATGAGAGAGAGAGAGAGAGAGAGAGAGAGAGAGAGAGAGAAGAGAGAGAGAGAAGAGAGAGAGAGAGAGAGAGAGAGAGAGAAGAGAAGAGAGAGAGAATGAGAGGAGAGAGAGAGAGAGGGAGAGAGAGAGAGAGAGAGAGAGAGAGAGAGAGAGAGAGAGAGAGAGAGAGAGAGAGAGAGAGAGAGAGAGAGAGAGAATGAGAGAGAGAAAATGAGAGAGAGATTGAGAGAGAGAAAATGAGAAAGTGAGAGAGAAAATGAGAAGTGAGAGAGAGAGAGAGAGAGAGAGAGAGAGAGAGAGAGAGAGAGAGAGAGAAGAGAGAGAGAGAGAGAGAGAAATGAGAGAGAGAGAAAATGAGAGAAAATGAGAAAGTGAGAGAGAGAAAATGAGAAAGTGAGAGAGAGAAAATGAGAGAAAGAGAGAGAAAATGAGAGAGAGAGAGAAGAGAGAGAGAGAGAGAGAGAGAGAGAGAGAGAGAAGAGAGAGAGAGAGAGAGAGAGAGAGAGAGAGAGAGAGAGAGAGAGAGAATGAGAGAGAATGAGAGAGAGAATGAGAGAGAATGAGAGAGAGAAGAGAGAATGAGAGAGAGAAGAGAGAGAGAGAGAGAGAGAGAGAGAGAGAGAGAGAGAGAGAGAGAGAGAGAGAGAGAGAGAGAGAGAGAGAGAGAGAGAGAGAGAGAGAGAGAGAGAGAAGAGCAGAGATAGAGAAATCAAATTTGTGACACGACATATTCTCATTAAATGTCATTATTATTCTCAAAAATCCCCAAAATCATGATCACCAACACAAAAGGAACAGCTGATCCTTATATTAGGATATCAATCTCAACACACTAATTGCTCTAAAGTACTAAAATCTACCACATTAAAAAATTATACCCTATCAGACTCTGTTTACTCGAGGCTTGACAATCACCTCCACAGATTCGATTCAAAACCTGGCCACAGGCCCAAGCCTCACAGGCAACCACACTCAAATCTTGTCACAATCTGCCAGCAACTGAGAAACCTTAAACCCCGGCAATTATGCAACATCTGCCTATGACTGAGATTGCCATAGTAATAATAATAATAATAATAATAATTATTATTATTATTATTATTACCTTATCATTATCATTACTATTATTATTATCATTATTATCATTATTATTATTATTATCATTTATTATTTATTTAATATTATCATTATCAATATTGGCATTTTCATCATTATTATTATCATTTTGAGTATTGTCCTCCTGTGCGGATACGTGCTGCAATCACACTCAAGATTGATTGGTCCTTCTTTAAATTCCATTCAATTTCTCCTGTCTGACTTGGATTTGGACATACGCCTTCTTAGGGAAACCGGGGCTCTTACAGTATTATACAAGATTGTAACCGGGAATTCCCATCATCTCTAAGTTTCTACCTGATTATCATCGAGTTCCTAGAAGTTCTAAAACCCTCACTTCAATTATATCTGATGCAAGTCAAGCGTCTACATCTCAGTTTTCTTTTCTTTTTCTCTTTTATTGCTATTTTTAGGCTCTGGAATAAATTACTCTCAGAGATTGTAACGTCCCCGACTCTTGATAAGTTTACGAGTTCAGCTCATAAATATCTACTACGTAAACCTCTGATGATTTTGTGTCTTCTTTTTCTTTCTCGAGTCTGTTTGACCTCCACTGACACCTTCGCTGGTATAATTCTCATTTCTTTTCAGCGTAGCTCTTTATATGGCTTAACGTAATAATAAATAAAAAAACAGCAATAACAACAACAATAATACCAATAACAACACCAGCAAAAGTGGCAAAAACAACAAAATCATTACCCCCCAGACCCCCCCCCCCCCCGCAGCGCAGGACTCACCTTCGCACTTGAGGCCCTGGCGCACCAGGCCCCACAGCATCTCCCCGCAGAAGTCGCAGAAGGTGGGCGTCTTGTAGGAGTGGACGTAGAGCATGTGAGGCCGGATCTGCACCTCGTCTGAAGGGTTGTGAGCTGAAAAGAGAGAGAGACGGTTAGCTGGACAG